ACAAAGAAAACAATAGCAAAAATCAATAAAACCAAAAGCTGGTTCTTTGAGAAGATAAACAAAATTGATAAACCATTAGCCAGACTCATCAAGAAAAAGAGGGAGAGGACTCAAATCAATAAAATTAGAAATGAAAGAGGAGAAGTTACAAGAGACACCGCAGAAATACAAAGAATCCTAGGAGACTACTACAAGCAACTTTATGCCAATAAAATGGACAATCTGGAAGAAATGGACAAATTCTTAGAAAGGTATAACCTTCCAAGACTGAACGAGGAAGAAATAGAAAATATGCACAGACCAATCACAAGTAATAAAATTGAAACTGTGATTAAAAATCTTCCAGCAAACAAAAATCCAGGATCAGATGGCTTCACAGGTGAATTCTATCAAACATTTAGAGAAGAGCTAACACCCATCCTTCTCAAATTCTTCCAAAAAATTGCGGAGGAAGGAACACTCCCAAACTCATTCCATGAGGCCACCATCACCCTGATACCAAAACCAGACAAAGATACTACAAAAAAAGAAAATTACAGACCAATAACACTGATGAACATAGATGCAAAAATCCCCAACAAAATACTAGCAAACAGAATCCAACAACACATTAAAAGGATCATACACCATGATTAAGTGGGATTTATCCCAGGGATGCAAGGATTCTTCAATGTACACAAATCAATCAATGTGATACACAATATTAACAAACTGAAGGAGAAAAACCATATGATCATCTCAATCGATCCAGAAAAAGCTTTTGACAAAATTCAACACCCATTTATGATAAAAACTCTCCAGAAAGTGGGCATAGAGGGAACCTACCTCAACATAACAAAGGCCATATACGACACACCCACAGCAAACATCATTCTCAATGGTGAAAAACTGAAAGCATTTCCTCTAAGATCAGGAACAAGACAAGATGTCCACTCTCACCACTATTATTCAACATAGTTTTGGAAGTCCTAGCCATGGCAATCAGAGAAGAAAAAGAAATAAAAGGAATACAAATTGGGAAAGAAGAAGTAAAACTGTCACTTTTTGCAGATGACATGATACTATACACAGAGAATCCTAAAGATGCCACCAGAAAACTACTAGGGCTAATCAATGAATGTGGTAAAGTTGCAGTATACAAAATTAATGCACAGAAATCTCTTGCATTCCTATACACTAATGATGAAAAATCTGAAAGAGAAATTAAGGAAACACTCCCATTTACCATTGCAACAAAAAGAATAAAATACCTGGGAATAAACCTACCTAGAGAGACAAAAGACCTGTATGCAGAAAACTATAAGACACTGTTGAAAGAAATTAAAGATGATACCAACAGATGGAGAGATATACCATGTTCTTGGATTGGAAGAATCAATATTGTGAAAATGACTCTACTACCCAAAGCAATCTACAGATTCAATGCAACCCCTATCAAATTACCAATGACATTTTTTACGGAACTAGAACAAAAAATCTTAAAATTTGTATGGAGACACAAAAGACCCCGAAGAGCCAAAGCAGACTTGAAGGAAAAAAAACAGAGCTGGAGGAATCAGACTCCCTGACTTCAGACTATACTACAGAGCTACAGTAAGCAAGACAATATGGTACTGGCACAAAACAGAAACATAGATCAATGGAACAAGATAGAAAGCCCAGAGATAAACCCACAAACCTATGGTCAACTAATCTATGACAAAGGAGGCAAGGATATACAATGGAGAAAAGACAGTCTCTTCAATAAGTGGTGCTGGGAAAACTGGACAGCTACATGTAAAAGAATGAAATCAGAACACTCCCTAACACCATACACAAAAATAAACTCAAAATGGATTCAAGACCTAAATGTAAGACCAGACACTATAAAACTCTTAGAGGAAAACATAGGAAGAACACTCTTTGACATAAATCACAGCAAGATCTTTTTTGATCCACCTCCTAGAGTAATGGAAATAAAAACAAAAATAAACAAATGGGACCTAATGAAACTTCAAAGCTTTTGCACAGCAAATGAAACCATAAAGAAGATGAAAAGACAACCCTCAGAATGGGAGAAAATATTTGCAAACAAATCAACGGACAAAGGATTAATCTCCAAAATATATAAACAGCTCATGCAGCTCAATGTTAAAAAAACAAAAAACCCAGTCCAAAATTGGGCAGAAGACCTAAATAGACATTTCTCCAAAGAAGACATACAGATGGCCAAGAAGCACATGAAAAGCTGCTCAACATCACTAATCATTAGAGAAATGCAAATCAAAACTACAATGAGGTATCACCTCACACCTGTTAGAATGGGCATCATCAGAAAATCTAGAAACAACAAATGCTGGAGAGGGTGTGGAGAAAAGGGAACCCTCTTGCACTGTTGGTGGGAATGTAAATTTATACAGCCACTATGGAGAACAGTATGGAGGTTCCTTAAAAAACTAAAAATAGAATTACCATATGAGCCAGCAATCCCACTACTGGGCATATACCCAGAGAAAACCATAATTCAAAAAGACACGTGCACCCCAATATTCATTGAGGCACTATTTACAATAGCCAGGTCATGGAAGCAACCTAAATGCCCATCGACAGATGAATGGATAAAGAAGTTGTGGTGTATATATATACAATGGAATATTACTCAGCCATAAAAAGGAACGAAATTGGGTCATTTGTAGAGATGTGGATGGATCTAGAGACTGTCATACAGAGTGAAGTAAGTCAGAAGGATAAAAACAAATATTGTATATTAACGCATATATGTGCAACCTAGAAAAATGGTACAGATGAACCAGTTTGCAGGGCAGAAATTGAGACACAGATGTAGAGAAGAAACGTATAGGCAGCAAGTAGGAGAAAGTGGTGGTGGTGGTGGTGGTGGTGGTGGTGTGATGAATTGGGCTATTCGGATTGACATGTATACACTGATGTGTATAAAATTGATGACTAATAAGGACCTGCTGTATAAAAAATAAATAAAATTAAGAAAAAAGAGAACTGGCTCAATCAACATACAAGAAACACAAATGATAAATAGAAAACATAAGATAAATGTAAAATAAGGTGGCAAAAGTACATTAAACATATCAATAATCACATTAAATGTAAGTGGATTAAGTTCCCCTGTTAGAAGAGAGTTACTTTCAGACTTCCTTAAAAACAAAATCCAGCTACGTACTATTTCTTTTTTCTTTTGTTTCTTCAGCTATGTACTATTTATTAAAAAACATCAATTAAGAGAAAATGACAAAGAGGTTGAAAACAAGAGACATATCAGACAAATACTAACAACAAGAGCAAGAAGGTTTTATGGCAATGTTAGACTAAAATTAAAGGCCAATTTTAAAAAGGGAAGAGGGGGAGATTTTATACTGATATAAGGTTATGTCATCAAAAACTATAATGATAGTAGCCAATATTTATTGAGCACTTATAACATGTCAGGTGTTATGATAACTGTTTTGCATATAGGCATTATATCATCCAATCCTCAGTGCTATCTCATTATTGCCCCCACTCAACAGTTTAGGAAACTTGAGGCACAGAGAAATTAGGTAGGTCACAGGTTGGCTAGTTAAGTATCAAAAACCAGTACTCTTAACCATTGGGCTATGCAACTGATACCATACCTTTGAAAAATATAAAGCAAAATCTGTTAGGAATACTATTCCTATACTTTCATCTAATATCTTAAAGTTCTTTTTTAAGTTTGAGTCAGTCTTCCTGGAATTTATTGTTGTGAATGATGTGAAATGGGGATCTAAGAACTTAATCCTTTAGCCAATTGTCCCACTGCCTCCTTCCCTCATTGATTTGAAATACTACCCCCTAACCCATACTAAAAGTCCATACATGCCTGAGTCTGCTTCTGAGCTATTGTTTCTTTGATCTATTTGTGTATTCCTGTGACAGTAACACACACAAAGAGCTTTAATCTCTAGCCATAAGTCATTATTCAGTGTTCCCAGAACATGTATTCCCCCCTTGCCTCTGTGTTTTTGCTCACAATATATCCCCAAGTTGCAACATTTCTCACCCACTGCACTAACCATTCTCCATGACTTGATATTCATCCTTTAAGATCTACTTTCAACCAACTATGCCAAATTTCTTTATTTCTCTTCCACATATCCTTATCAGTTAAAAAAATTATGCTAATACACCACATATGACAATGTGCTGAGTTAGTTTTATTGGAATGGATCAATCTCATCTCTCTCTCCACATCTTCCCTCCAGTCCTCCACTTGTAGCACCCTTGCAGGAAAGGGCTTTGTAACCTTAGCATGTAGCAATCAACTGATACTCTGTAGGTTACTTATTGAGAAAAATAATACACGCAGTGCTTGAAATATAAACGATATCAGGGAACTGGTCACAGTGGTTGTTTCTGGGGAGGAAAACTTAGGGATGGAAGGAGATCCCCCATTTGAACTTTTCCTATATGTATGTATTATCTGTACGACATAACAAATACATAATTTTAAAAAGAACAGTCAGATCTATCTATTGTCTTGAATAGAGTTTCACATTTTATTTTTAGTAAGAAAGGCAAATTGTAGAAGAAGTAGAATATATAATCTTATTTTTAGAAGAAATCAGAAATTCTGAACAAAACAATCTTACTTATGGGTATGTTTTTGCAGGGCATTGGGTTAAGGCAAAGGAGAAGGCAGGGCGGGGCAGGGTCGGGGGGAAGGAAGGGGGAGAGGAAAGTAGAACATCAAGCGTGCCAACGAGCCAGCGAGGCCCCGCCTCTATTCCGCCCACCAAGCCCTGGCCCTCTCCCAATCCCCACCCATCGGGCTTCAGCTCTGTCCTTAGCCCCGACCAGTCGGCGTACACTCCGCTCCAACCCCACTCTTTAGGCCCGGTCAGAGCCCACCCCAGAGCTTAACCTCGCCCGCAGCCCTGGGGAAGGAAACTAGAATTTTTCCTCCAAGGTTGGATGAAGGAGTCAACCTTTCCGCCAGTGCCCTGAGGTCCTCTGGCCCTGAGGGCCGGTGCCCCGACCACTTCCGCTCCCGGCGGCCCTGACACCGGAAGCAGAAGTGCGCAGCAGCGGCGGATGGTGGCTGCAGTACGGGGCCGCACGGCGCGCTGCGGTGGGAGTGTCTCCGGCCGTTCTGCAGGTGCGGCCAGGCCCCTTGGGAGGGCGGGGAGGGCTCGGCGGGCGCGGGGAGAGGCCGGAGGGCCTAGGACGGCTGCCCGGGCCGAGGTGCTTCCTCCCCGCGGTAACCCCGGGGCCGGGATGGGAGCCCGCACAGCTCGGCTCTGCAGCCGGGCTCCCCCTTTTCGGTCTGTCGCTCTCAGGTACCCCTTGTTCGGGCCAACAGGACTGTCATCCGCCTGTTGAAGGGGAAGTCACGAAGTACAGCCCAGGTCCCGCAGCTAACAAGTGGTGACACCAGCCGGCCCCAGTACTCACCCGTCTTCCCCGATTTGTAGGCCTACCGTATCTCCCATATGCAGGATAACTATTTATTAATAAATCACGTTTTATTTCATATTACGTTTCAGGTTATCTAGCTCTGCAAATGGAAATTTAGGTCTGAGTCTACATGTGCAAACTGGTTTGAGTGACTTGGCATGTGAATTTAAAAAATGGAATGTACCCTCTATCAAGGGATGAATTAGTTGGTGACTGACAATTTGCACTTGCTTACCTTAGGACCTGTTAACTTAGCTTTCTTTTCCTTTTCCTTTCCTTTCCCCTCCCTCCCTCCCTCCCTTCTGACTTTTACTTTGCATCAGTTTTCTTAACTGTAAGGAGAGCATGTCCTAATAAAAGCTATTTCTCACTTATGTCACAAGTCTTATTAACATCAAAGAAAAGTAAGACTATTCAGTTCTTTTCAAGTTGGCTCCAGCCTGTAAATCGCCGTAAGGCTTCAAAAGATGGGACTCCAGGAAAAAGAACATAAGCTTTGTTAGTACCGGGAATTGAAATTGAGTTGGCAGTAAATGGGATGTCTTTTTTTTTTTTTTTTTTCGGTACGCGGGCCTCTCACTGCTGTGGCCTCTCCCGCTGCAGGGCACAGGCTCCGGACGCGCAAGCTCAGTGGCCATGGCTCACGGGCTCAGCCGCTCTGCGGCATGTGGGATCTTCCCGGACCAGGGCACGAACCCGTGTCCCCTGCATGAGCAGGCGGACTCTCAACCACTGCGCCACCAGGGAAGCCCGGGATGTCTTTTTTAAATCATAGGGTTAAGACTCACTTCTAATGAGAAATGGAGAAAAAATTAATTCTGGAGGAAAATTAAGCATCAGATTTCAATTTGATGAGTGTGGTGTTTGTTTTTAGAGAGGATTCACGTTCTACCTTGTCTTTTTAGAAAGAGTTAACGTTTCTTAAAGACAGCTGAAATCTAGTGTTGCGATTTTTGTTATATGAACAGGCATTTTAAGTCATTTTTATTTTTGACTTGTGGTGTTGTCTTATGTGTTTGTGTGTGTGTGTGTGTGTATATGAGTGTGCATGTGGGCACATGGCTTCTTAGTCTAACTATATTGAATTATTCTTGAGGAGTGTTGATTGTTTGGCACATTTTCATTGGGGGTGCCCTCAATGAGCCAGGCCCTGTACAGGGGAAACGATGTGACTGAAATAGATTTAGTGCTTGCCCCTGTGGAGGTTTTGTTCTAGCTGGGAAGACAGATTTTAAATTAATAATGACAAGGGTGATGTAGAAACACAGAACAGGGGAACTTGAGGAGGAGATCAGCAAAAATATCTTAAATGGGACAAATGTTTGAAATTAAAAGATGAGTTTTATGTAACTAGACAGGGGTCAGGCTGTGGAGTCGGAGTGGGGAGGAGATTTGAAAGAACGGTGTATGCGTAATCCCTCAGGCAGTACAAAGCCTGGTGTATTCCAGGAGCTGAGAAAAGATAGGGAAAGCTAAAACACAGAAGACAAAGGAGAGGAGGGCAGGGCCCTGAAGGCCATGGTAAACTTTGGACCTTGTTCTAAGGCCAGTGGGAAGCCACTGAATCAGAGTTTTAAGTAGGGAGTAATATGATTTTGTTTGTGATTTAAACAAACCACCAACTCCTGGGTTGAGCATGGTGTTTAGGATGGACAAGAATGAATGCAAAGTCCACACATATAGCAGCTTGGGTTAGTTCAGGACTCAGACAATTGTGGAGTTGGAAAAGTTGGGGCTTGGTGGTGATCGTGGAATTGAAAAAGTTGGAATGTTTGCGATGCATAAGAGGTAGAACTGAGAGAATTTGGTGCTCGATGTATTCTCTCTACCACATGATATAGAGTAGGGCTTGGCAAACTGTGGCCTGTGGGCAAATCTGCCCCAGTGCTGGTTTCTATTAATAAGGTTTTATTGGAACACGTGTTTATGTGTTCCCTGTGGCTGTTTCTGTGCTATAACCACAGTTAAATAGTTGCCATACATGTGGCCCACAAATTTTAAGATATTTACTGTGTGGCCTTTTACAGAAAGTTTGCCAACCCCTTAGTACGTAAAGTACTTAGTACTTACCAAGTGCGGTTCTGGTGGCAGGATTTGGAGTCCTGAAAAAAGTGGACACAGGTCTATACCTCGAGCGTTTACATCGTGGTTGGAGAGAGAGAGGCAAACTTACGTATACAAATACATATTAAAAAATCGCAACTTGATAAGGGCAGTGGAGGAAATGTAGAGGATGTTAGAGGTGTTTTGAGGGAGGATAAGAGGAGAAATGATCCTTGTATTAGGTGACTGGAGCCAGTAGAAACGGTAAGGGCCTGTGGTGTGAAAGGTGGCTCAGGGCCCAATATGTTCCTTATTGAGATAATTTCCGGGTAAGCATGTTTCGCTTGGCCACCCTGCTGGTCCACAGAAATGGAATTATCTGGGCCAAACCCCTGCTTGGTGTTCTGCTTCCACTCTCATTTCTTCTTTTACCTCTGTCTCTCTTATTGCAGGAAGGACACCTACTGAAACTTTAAACCCTGGCGCTGGTGTCATGGTGAGGGGGAAGGAGGTGGTTAGGATGGATGGGGGGGGAATAATTATGTACTCTGGGCCCTGTCTCCTCTCTGCCTGCCTCCCAACTGAGGAAGAAAGAAGAGGGAAGTGTGGAGCATCTTTAGCCCCGTCCCCAGGACCTGGCAACCTCTTTCAGTACATGACCTCCAGAGGGAACTGGTTTGGGTGGAGGGTTCCCAAAGCGACCCTGGGGCTCTGTACCTAATTCCAGAGTCTGACTGCAGTGCGGGGCTCATTTAGAGCCGGCAGCAGCAGAGCTCCAGGGCCATCCCTGCCATCGCTCGTGAGACCTACCAAAAACACATGGCTCTATACAGTAAAATTAAAATTAATTAAAATCCAATAAAATTAAAACCTCAGTTACTCAGTCACCCAAAGTACATTTCTCAAATGCTTAGTAGCCACACGTGCCAGTGGCTGCCTTTTTGGAAAGTGCAGACATAGAACATTCCCATTGAGCTTTACCAGTCAGTGCTGTTGTAGAGAATTCTGAGATTAAAAGGCCATCAAGTTTCTCAGGTGCAATGGAAGTCCTATTTTAACAAGCATAAAAAATGACTAAATGCTTATCTATGTCTTGGGCGGTGTCCTAGGGACTTCATGAAAATTAAAAGATCAAACCCAAACTTTTGATGTCTTAAATAAGGAGTTTAGGAAAAGCTCTGTAAAGCTGAGAAGAACAGGCTCCGCCATCACTGGTTAGTGGAGTGACAGAGAGCCAAAGTTTATACTTTTGGATCTGTCCAAACGTTAAAAGAAAGTCAGTATTTTCTGCTGGGTCCCAGCAACTCCTCAGTTCTGCCCTTGTAGCACAAAAACTGCCATAGAGATAAACAAAGGGGTGTGGCTGTTTGCCAGTAAAACTTTATTCAGACAAACAGGAGGCAGGCCGGGTTTGCTAAGCCCTGCTTTGGAGAGAACACTCTCTGAATGTTCTTGCATTGGGTCTACCTTCCCCAGGGATAACCCCTCGTCCTGCAGAATGGTGAGGGTGGTCCTTGCTGAGCCGGAATATGTGTACTGTCTTAGGAATCAGTCACCTTGGAGGATGTGGCAGTGGGGCTCATCCAGGAGTGGGCGTTGCTGGATGACGCTCGGAGGAATCTGTGCAGATACGCGTTGCTGGACAACTGCAGGACCCTGGCCCCCCGGGGTAAGGCTGGTGCTACTCCGGTCCTTACTGTATGCAAATGCTTTTTAAGCGCCTGCCACGTGACCATAGTGATGTAGTGTGGGTTTCCAGTTCATGGGCTTCCACAGGATAACAGCTCCATGCATTGCTTTTACTTAATTCTCTCCATAGTCACTCGTGTGGGTCTCACTGACCTTGAGCTTGGGCTTTGGGACTTAGAGAACCTCAGTTCCATGGGGCAGAGAGGGAGCGTTTGTAGTTTGGGCCCTTGTGAAAGAACCTCACTGAGTTCATTAAAAACTGGATGTGATCACTTAGGTACCCCATGTACTTGCTCGGGGTCAGGAGCTGAGGTCCAGGTGGAGGGTGGGCAGGCAGGGGAAGCATTTATTTTCCTCTGCAAGCCCTCCCTTCTCTCAGCATGTATGTTTTTCTCCACCAGCAGGGACTCAATCCTGCAAAACCTGTCTGGTCTCCCAGGTGGGGCCAAGAGAAGAGCTGATGACAGCAGAACGAGGCATTCTCTGTGCCACGGGTGTGGGTGAGTACCAGGGGGCGTAGCACATTGTGACCCATCCAGACCGGGGTTTGAGGGTGGGTGCTGCTGGGAAGTGTCAGTCTGAGGGCGTTTTTAAGGTTCTTTATTTTGAGGGGAAATAAGGTTGTTTGGGGTGAGTTCCTTTAGCTCTTCTTTTTTCACTTTTTAACTCTCTTACTTTTTGTTGGTTTCAGAAAAAGATCTGTTCCAATTTCTCTTTTTTTAAAAAAAAATTTGAGATACATACTGTAAAATTCACCCTTTTAAAGTGTACAATTCAGAGGTTTTTAGTATATTCACAGAGTTGTGCAACCATCACCACTATCTATTTCCAGAACATTTCTATCACCTCCAAAAGAAACCCTGTACTTATTAGCAGTCCCCCCCATCCCCCTTCCTGCAGCCCCCAGCAACCACTAACTCACTCTCTGTCTCTGTGGATTTGCCTGTTCTGGACATCTCATATAAATGGAATCATACGTCTGTGTCTGTCTTCTTTCACTCAGCATCATGTTTTAGAGGTTCTTCCATATAGTAGCATGAAATGCTTCATTCCTTTTTAAGGCTGAGTGATATTCCATTGTGTGGATGCACCACATTCTGTTCATCCATTCATCATATAATGGCCATCTGTCTTGTTTCCACTTTTTGGTGATTGGGAGTAGTACTACTCTGAACATTCTTGTATAAGAATTTATGTGGAGCAAACATCATTCTCAATGGTGAAAAACTGAAAGCATTTCCTCTAAGATCAGGAACAAGACAAGGATGTCCACTCTCACCACTATTATTCAACATGGTTTTGGAAGTCCTAGCCATGGCAATCAGAGAAGAAAAAGAAATAAAAGGAATACAAATTGGAAAAGAAGAAGTAAAACGGTCACTGTTTGCAGATGACATGATACTATACATACAGAATCCTAAAGATGCCACCAGAAAACTACTAGAGCTAATCAATGAATGTGGTAAAGTTGCAGGATACAAAATTAATGCACAGAAATCTCTTGCATTCCTATACACTAATGATGAAAAATCTGAAAGAGAAATTAAGGAAACACTCCCATTTACCACTGCAACAAAAAGAATAAAATACCTAGGAATAAACCTACCTAGGGAGACAAAAGACCTGTATGTAGAAAACTATAAGACACTGATGAAAGAAATTAAAGATGATACCAACATATGGAGAGATATACCATGTTCTTGGATTGGAAGAATCAATGTTGTGAAAATGACTATACTACCCAAAGCAATGTACAGACTCAATGCAATCCCTATCAAATTACCAATGACATTTTTTACGGAACTAGAACAAAAAATCTTAAAATTTGTACGGAGACACAAAAGATCCCGAATAGCCAAAGCAGTCATGAGGGAAGAAAACGGAGCTGGAGGAATCAAACTCCCTGACTTCAGACTATACTACAAAGCTATAGTTATCAGAACAATATGGTACTGGCACAAAACAGAAACATAGATCAATGGAACAAGATAGAAAGCCCAGAGATAAACCCACAAACCTATGGTCAACTAATCTATGACAAAGGAGGCAAGGATATACAATGGAGAAAAGACAGTCTCTTCAATAAGTGGTGCTGGGAAAACTGGACAGCTACATGTAAAAGAATGAAATCAGAACACTCCCTAACACCATACACAAAAATAAACTCAAAATGGATTCAAGACCTAAATGTAAGACCGGACACTATAAAACTCTTAGAGGAAAACATAGGAAGAACACTCTTTGACATAAATCACAGCAAGATCTTTTTTGATCCACCTCCTAGAGTAATGGAAATAAAAACAAAAATAAACAAATGGGACCTAATGAAACTTCAAAGCTTTTACACAGCAAAGGAAACCATAAACAAGACAAAAAGACAACCCTCAGAATGGGAGAAAATATTTGCAAACAAATCAACAGACAAAGGATTAATCTCCAAAATATATAAACAGCTTATACAGCTCAATGTTAAAGAAACAAAAAACTCAGTCCAAAAATGGGCAGAAGACCTAAATAGACATTTCTCCAAAGAAGACATACAGATGGTCAAGAAGCACATGAAAAGCTGTGCAACATCACTAATTATTAGAGAAACGAAAATCAAAACTACAATGAGGTATCACCTCACACCAGTTAGAATGGACATCATCAGAAAATCTACGAACAGCAAATGCTGGAGAGGGTGTGGAGAAAAGGGAACCCTCTTGCACTGTTGGTGGGAATGTAAATTGATACAGCCACTATGGAGAACAGTATAGAGGTTCCTTAAAAAACTAAAAATAGAATTACTATATGATCCAGCAATCCCACTACTGGGCATATACCCAGAGAAAACCATAATTCAAAAAGGCACATGCACCCCAATGTTCATTGAAGCACTATTTACAATAGCCAGCTCATGGTAGCAACCTAAATGCCCGTCGACAGAAGAATGGATAAAGAAGATGTGGTACATATATACAATGGAATATTACTCAGCCATAAAAGGAACGAAATTCAGTCATTTGTTGAGATGTGGATGGATCTAGAGATTGTCATACAGAGTGAAGTAAGTCAGAAAGAGAAAAACAAATATCGTATATTAACTCATGTATGTGGAACCTCGAAAAATGGTACAGATGAACCGGTTTGCAGGGCAGAAGTTGAGACACAGATGTAGAGAACAAACGTATGGACACCAAGGGGGGAAAGCCACGGAGGGGTGGTGGTGGTGGTGTACTGAATTGGGCGATTGGGATTGACATGTATACCCTGATGTGTATAAAACTGGTGACTAATAAGAACCTGCTCTATGAAAAAATAAAGTTCAAAAATTAAAAAAAAACGAATTTATGTGGATATGTTTTCATTTCTCTTGAGTATATACTTAGGTGTGGAATTGCTGGGTCATTTTTTAAACTTTTTGAAGAACCGCCAAACCGCTTTCTAGAATAGTCACACTGTTTTACCTTCCCACCAGCGGTGCATGAGGGTTCCAATTTCTCCATATCATACAAACAATTATTGTCCAATTCCTCTTTAAACCAAACATTTCTTTGTATGTTCCTTTTCTAATTGCTTCTTCCTTGTTTGCCTGATAACACTGTCTGATAACGTCACTTTCAATCTCCACGGATTCCTTTGCTGGGAAAAAAGTCTCTCATTTCCACCTCATTCCCATCCCTGCCCAGTTGCTACTCTTAGAGCCTCACTTTCTCACTGATAGCTTCTTCCATTTCAGTACTGACCCAAGTTTAGGGTCAATATTAAAAAAAAAAATACATGTTGTGTGTGTCAATATCATGCCACTACTTCTTTCTGAAAGAAGGTAATTTTTTTTTTCCAATTCATTTTAGACTGGGAATCTCAACTTAAACCCAAAGAGTCTACTCCTCTGCAGGATATTTTGGAGGAAAATTCATCCCATGATTTGCAAATGGTAAGATTCACAGGTGATGATTCTTTACTCCCTCTCATAGAAGAAGTTGAGGAATACGTGAGTTGGACACGCACACCAGCGCCAGGCAGATATTTGAGCCAGGGCTTTTCCTCAAGGACATGAAGTGTCTGGAGGGAGCATCCATGACCCATGAATTTGGGCAAATCCCACCTATCACTTAAGATTCTTTCTTCTTAGAAAGTTCCCCTGAGTAAACATTTCCATCAGTGAGAGTCAGACATTGATTGTATGCAGTGTGATTTACTCTTCAACAGTGATCAGAAACACGCTGTCTGTTAGAGATGCCCCATGTAAGTTCAGGATGTGAGAAAGCCTAGTGGTGGAACCTGCCACATCCTGGAAGAACTCGACCTGTCTGAACAAGGCGCACCTTTGAAAATGCTGAAAACGTGCCCCTGACAAGGAGCATCCCTGGGTGACCTTTTTGTCATCATCCACCGCTCATCAGGAGCAAACTCCTCCTGGAGAGAAGCCACCTGCTGATTTAACCGTGGTGAGAAAGGCTCCTGGAGGAATTATAACTTGGACCTGAACAAGAGGACCTGCAGGAGAGGGCCACTCTGATTGTAAAGAATGTGGGAAAGTTGTCAGGGGTCCCACACCCCTAGGGAGACAAGTTGAGACCCCACACTGGAAGGAAGCCCTTGTCAAAGAGTGGAAAATCATTCAGAACCAGCTTGCACAGTATGGTGTGTGAGAAAATGCAGAGTCCTGCCATCCCCCCTTTGACCCTGAATTCCTGCCTTCCTAAACTACCGAGCCTCCAAGTTTGAGTTCCCATTCTTGGGGTTTTGAAGCTTAGGGTTAGGGCTAAGATTTGGATAGAGGGACATACAGAGCCCATCTTCACCCCCAGGCCCAGAGCCAATGAGGTATCTAGCTTCCCTTCCTCTCCACCTCTATCACGGATGGTGTCAGCCTCAGAGTGTCAGAGACACTGGCACAGTGCATGGGGTGGTGAGGCCGGGGTAGTAGAGACCCCTTTTCCATTCCTGTGCCCTGAGCACGCGGAGCCTCAACCCTGCACAGCCTCGTGAGGAGTGGGCTGCCAGGCAGCTGAAACTCTTGCCCCTGCATGGCTGGCATCAGACCCCAGGGCAGCCGAGCCCTCTCCTTAGTGCCCAGATCCTCCTTGTCCTTGGTTTACACTCTTGTTTTGGAAGAGAACGTCCTCCACTAGCTGCTTGGGAAAGGGCGCTGGCTTTTGAGACCTTAGGATCTGCAAATGTCTTACTGGAGCTGCTGGATCCCAGGGGCCTCATCTGCTGTTGTTGTTGCAGTAACCCCATTATAGAGTGTTCTGTGCGCCATTATAGAGCTCTCGATTGATGCCTGTTGAATGAAGGAGTGAACAGATGGGTGCTGGTAAAGACGGCTCCAGGCCCCTACCGGCACCATGCCTCAATCAGCAGATGGACCGTGTGAGGGCGGGAGTACGGGATGATGAGGGACGGGTGTCCTCTGTGGTTTCTGTGGGCTCTTTCCTCTCAGTATGGGGTTCCAGCACTTTCCACAGAACTTCACTGCCAGCTCAGTAGTGAGTACTGAGTGTGGGAGAGGAGGGGCTTCTGCTGTATCTGGAAACACAGGCAGTCACAGAATGTTGTGAGTGGGCATAAGTGGTCCACTTCCTTCTATATAGAGGAATCCCACTACAGTTCCTTCTGTGTAGAGGAATCAAGCAGCTCACCCCTGAATATGCCCCTAAGTGGTCCAGCATATGTGAGGTCGGGAGTCAAATCCAGGCCTGTCTCTAGAGACCGCCATCTTAGCCACCAGGGTCTTCTGCTTGAGGATCGCACATCCTGATACTTGGTCGATGTGGCTGAACCTTTGGTTATCCCTTCTAGGCCATGTGGGTGTCACTGAGCCTTGTCGCAATCACTGGGGCCCCTTATGGCAGCTCTGAGGTCACGTGTGAATAAGTGCTGGTGGCCAGGGACAGACCAAGGCCCTGTAGCCCCAAAGAATGGGCATCTCCAGGCTCAGCCTTCCTACTGTCCCAGGGCCACCCACGCCACCTCTCCTGCACAACACCCAGCTCGTCAAGGCTGTGGTTTCACCTCTTCTGTTTCCTGCTGGATCCACAGTGCCTGTACTAGCAGTGCTCAATAAGTACGTGTTGAGCAAATAGGCGGAACTCCTAAAAACCTTCAAGAAGAGTGATCTGTGTCAGAATTATTCTGATGAAAACATTTGTCTCAAAATGGTACCCCCGGGATTTCAATTTACGGAGGTGACTGAGTGATGACATGGAGAGGCCAGTGACAGCGACTTACATTTCTTGAGAGGAGGGGGCTGGCCACGCCACACAGGGCCACACGAGGAAGCACCAGCATCAGTCAGGAGGCTGACAGGAGTGAGGGGAGACTCTAGGCCGGAGCCTTCATTGGTTTTCTGTAGGAAAGGCAAGGCAGGGCAGGGTAAACATCTTAGGATTGGTGAGTTTGAGTGATAATTCTGGGGGATCTTGAGGCGCAGGGGCTGTCCCCAGTTGTCTGGTACCTGGCCTTGGTGATTTAGGGCAGGGGGAATGTTGGCTTGGTGTGTGAGAACTAGCTAAAGGAGGTGGTTCGGAGTACGAGCTGTGGATCACAAGGGAGATGTAAACAGCTGTGGCCATCAGTTTGGCCCTGTGATTGATGGATGCCAGGGGCATCCTCAAATATGGAATCTAAGGAAACAGAATGAAGTTCATATTCAGAGCCAAGGGCTCCCAGCCTTTCTATAGCAACCTTTCTAGTAAAATATCTTGTAGCGCCTCCAAGGGCTTGTGGCCTGACCTCCAGACAGGGCCTCTCCAGAACCAGAAAGGGGACAGGTCTGTCTCCAAGTCTCTGGCATGATCAGTCCTCGTTGGTGGCAGGGGCCCACAGTGCAATAGGGGGAGTCACGAGGTCTGAAACTACCAGGCCCACGTTCCCCAAATTCTGATGGCACGAGCCCCAAACTTAGGGTCTCTGAGGGTGAGAACAGCCTCCATACCGCCTCTGTCCTGCTCAGCACCCTCCATGCCTTTTCCCAGGGGCTGGGACTGGACCTGAGGATGCAGATCAAGCCCATGATGGGAGAGAGGGGGACACCTCTGACTCCAGGGGACCGGTCAGCTCTCCAGGAGTCACCTTGGTCTTCTGAGGACACAGTAAGCCTGGGAAGTGGTTTGCTGGGAGGGCCCCAGCCCCATCCAGGAAAGCCTAGGGTTCAGGAGTTTTGTTAGGTGGGGAGGCAGGAGGGAGGGATGAATCTAGGACCAACTGCCAACTGTTGGGGGAATTGGGAACATGCTGGAGGCCCAGGCTTACCTCCTGGTAGGAACTGCTGGACATGCTGTGGCATTTCTGCATTGAATGTAAATATCCCTAGTGTGATGTCAGGCCCAGAGCAGTCCTAGGGGAGGGGCTAGCACCTAGGGTTCAGGCCCTGCCTCTCTTTGTCCAGTCCTTCCACCCTCATTCCCACCCTGTCCATGGCCAGGAAACCTACAGGAATGAGTGGGTCCAAGGGCTGTGTGAAGAGTGTCCAGGCCGGTAACCAAGCTCTTGGCTCAGGGCCTTGTGTTTTGGTACTGAGGTGGACAGAGTTACCGAGAAGGACACTTTAAGGTGTGCTATGAGCCCCGCGCTGAGGAGGAGGGGCCTCCTCTCACCTGTCCCTGCCCATCACCTGCCCTGAGGGACCTGCCACATTTACTTCCCATCCACCACCAAGTCCTACAAACTTTTCCTCCAAAATATAAACCTACCTCTGACTGCTCCTTCTGTTCCTGGTGCCACCACCCTGCCCAGAGCCACCGTTATTTCTCCTGGACCCCCGGGAACTGCTCCTGACAGGCTCCTGCTACCACTGGGCATCACCCTGGACACCGAGGCCAGAGGCATCCCTTAGAAATGCAAGTCAGTTCAAGTACCCTTCCCAAGGGAGTGGCTGGCGGTAGAGGAGAGTTCAGGTCCTTTCTCCCACAGCAGGGCTTCCCCTCCGGAATAGTTTACTTATGTCCCCTCATTTGCAGGGGTCCACCTCTGCATCCTCCCTCTACCCCCTCAATCTGCTGGCCATCCACTGCCCCTCTCTGCTCCAGCATTTCCCCCACTACCGGAGGCTGCTCAGAGGAGGCCTCCCTTACCCAGGCCCCCTCTCTCCATCCCATCTTGGAGTTGAAATTCCACGACGGTGGCTAACTTTATACTGAAGAATTGTAAACCTGGACAAGGGAACAGGGCCTGTCCCTGTATGTTCAGTGTGTTTCCCCAAAGCAGGGCCAGTCATGCCAATTCAGTCTGGGTGAGCAGGTGTGAGTGGATCCCACCGACTGTGTGACTAATATGTTCCTGTCACTCTGTCCAGGGGCTGAAGGTGGCTGTGCAGATTCAGAGGGTGGCCACGCCAGAGCCTACGCTGCGCCTCCTCAACCTGTTGGGGGCTGGGGATTCTGGTGAGTGAGAGCTGGGTGGAATTGACAGCCAGAGGGCCCCGCTTTGCTGTGTTGTGTCTGGGAACTTGCATCCGCTGCCTTTTCCTCTGACTGCAGTCGTTGCCACAGGGAGAGAATGTATGAAGCAATCTCTCATTATTTACATACGCAAGGGGAAAGGCACTTTCTAGGGATTGTGGGCTGGGATTCTTTTTTTGTTTTTTTTGGTCTCAGATCTTTCTGTTATGGAAGAGCAGTCCCCACTCAACTATGGCAAAGGCCAGACCTCTTTTGGGGCACGGTTAAATTCTCCACTGCGCAAGCATGTCGATGCTGAAGGTTACAGTTGAATTTACTATAAGTGGCACATGTTTGAACTGAGCTTTTAAAAAATGAGGCTAAAAGCCACATCTCCTGAGAAGTGGGGGAAAAAATTAATTCTGGAGGACAAATAACATTGTAGCTTGTACTGCAAGGCGTTTGTTTCCTTCCATCTTAATTTATTGTAAGAATAATAAATTTTGATTATTAATCATATCATCCAGTCTTGCATTTGGAATCTGTATTATGCCACTGACAGGAAGTAATGCTTAGATTTGGGTTATATGTTGTTGTTCTATATATTTTTGGTACACCTTCTGGGCCAGGCTCTGCCATAATGTACTCGTTGTATTTATTTATTTTTAAAATTTTTATTAGAGTATAGTTGATTTACAATGTTGTGTTACTTTCTGCTGTACAGAAAAGTGAATCAGTTACATATATCCATATATCCACTCTTTTTTAGATTCTTTTCCCTTTTAGGTCATTACAGAGTATTGAATAGAGTTCCCTGTGCTATACAGTAGGTCCTTATTAGTTATCTGTTTTATATATAGTAGTGTGTATATGTCAATCCCAGTCTCCCAATTTATCCCTCCCCCCGTTTCCCTCCTGGTAACCATAAGATTGTTTTCTACATCTGTGACTCTATTTCTGTTTTGTCAATAACTTCATTTGTACCGTTTTTTTAGATTCCACATATAAGTGATATCATATTTGTCCTTCTCTGTCTGACTTACTTCACTCAGTATGACAATTCCTAGGTCCATCCATGTTGCTGCAAATGGCATTATTTCATTCTTTTTTATGGCCAAGTAATATTCCATTGTATATATGTACCACATCTTCTTTACCCATTCCTCTGTTGATGGATATTTAGATTGCTTCCATGTCCTGGCTATTGTAAATAGTGCTGCAGTGAACATTGGGGTGCATGTATCTTTTCAAATTATAGTTTTCTTCGGGTATATGCCCAGGAGCAGGATTGCAGGATCATATGGTAGCTCTATTTTTAGCTTTTTAAGGAACCTCCATACTGTTCTCCATAGTGGCTGTACCAATTTACATTCCCACCAGCAGTGTAGGAGGGTTCCCTTTTCTCCACACCCTTTCCAGCGTTTATCGTTTGTAGACTTTTTAATGATGGCCATTCTGACCTGTGTGAAGTGATACCTCATTGTAGTTTTGATTTACATTTCTCTAATAATTAGTGATGTTGAGCATCTTTTCATGTGCTTTTTGGCCATCTGTGCCATAAAGTACTGTTGAAGTACTTGGTGTGCTCTGTGCTTTTGAAGTACTCTGGAAGGTACTCTTGAAGTACTCACCGCTGTCATCCTGTGGTGACATGGGCACTGGGAAACAATTGCAGACCAAACCCTGAGGCCCTCCCCCATGGAGTTCACAGTCTGGCTTGGTGGTCAGATTTTTCAATGGAGACTGGAATGCAATGGAAGCATATAACAGGAGGGCTTTATCTTGGGGGGCAGGGAGGAGCTCTGGGAAATTTAAGTTTAGACCAAGTTTCTCAACTGCAGCACTGCTGATACAGGGGCTGGATCTCTGTGGTGGGGGCCATCCTGCATGTTGTAGGATGTTTAGCAGCATCCCTGGCCACCACTCCCTAGCTGGCAGTACCACCTCCCCCTGTATTAGTTTGCTAGGGCTCCCATAACAAAGTACCACAGGCTGGGTGGCTTAAACAACAGAACTTTGTTTTCTCACAGTTTTGGAGGACAGAGGTCCAAGATCAAGAGGGCCGTGATCTGTTCTTTGGCTTGTTGATGTCCGTCTTCGTCCTGCATTTTCCCTCTGTATGTGTCCGTGTCCAAATTTCCACCAATTACATTGGATTAGGACCCATCCTACTGACCTCATTTTAATTTAATGACCTCTGAAAAGACCCTATGTCCAAATACAGTTATATTCTGAGATTCTAGGGGTTAGGACTTCAACATATGAATCTTTGGAGGGACACAGTTCAGCCCATAACACCCTAGTCATGACGACCAAAGACATCTTCAGGTGCTCTGGATTGTCCCCCTCTAATGCATATGTTGATGCCGTAACCTCCCATGTGGCTGTATTGGAGACAGGGCCTTTAAGGAGGTTGTTAGGGTTAAATGAGGTCTTAAGGGTGGAGCCCTGATCCCATAGAATTGGTGTCCTTATAAGAACAGGAAGAGAAAAAGCAGAGTTCTCCACCATGTGAGGACACAGTGAGAAGGCAGATGTCTGCTAGCCAGGAAGAGCATTCTCACCAGAGCCGGACCATGCTGGCACCCTGGTCTCAGACTTCCAGCCTCCAGAACTGTGAGAGAATAAATTTCTGTTGTTTAAGCCACCCAGTCTGTGGTATTTTGTTACAGCTGCCCGAGCTAAGATACTAGACACTGCCACCTGACCTCTGGGGACAGGGGTGGCTTAAGACCATAATAATTACTGTATCGTTTAAATGTTGGTCTGTTTGGAGGTTTGGGGAGAGGCGTTCAGGCCTAGGAAAGGCATCTGTAAAATCCACTGGGCACCGGGGAAGAAGAGCCTGGTCTTTCAGCACCTGGGAGGAAGATGGGCCTCGGGAGGGTATGAGTGGTGGGTGGAGGCAGTTAGGAAAAGGATGGTGGTGGCCTAGACTTGGGGGTGAGTGTGGAGTAGGTGTGTCAGGGGTCCCTAAGACCACTCCCAGGTTTGACGATTTGCTAGGAGGACTCAGGACTTAGCTTACAGTTGTACTCATGGCTATGATTTATTCCATTGAAGGGATGCAAAGCAAAGTCAGCAAAGGGAAAAGCCTCATGGGGTGAAGTCTGGAGGAATTCAGGCACAAGTTTCTGGAGTCCTCTCCCAAGGGAGTCGCATGGGACACGCTTAATTCCCCCAGCAACAAGCTGTGACAACATGTGTGCAGTATTATCTACAGGGAAGTTCCTTAGAGACTCAGAGCCCAGGGTTTTCCCTGGGGGCTGGTCATGTAGGCACCCTCTGCCCAGCACATACCTAAATTCCAGACTTCCAGAAGGAAAACAGGCATTCAGCATAAACCACACTGTTTGTACAAACAGTTTAAGCAGAGAGTGAGCCCCTCTTATCAGTTAGGGTGGTGGGAACCCTCTCGAAATCCAAGTTCCCAGAGGCTAGCTAAGGGTCAACCTTCCTGGCAGGCCTTGCTGAGGAGAGCAGTCAGGCCTGCTGTGTTAACTCTTGTCTGCACACCAGGTAAGCTAGGAACCATGTAAGATGTACACAGGAGGTCGAGTTGAGATAGTTTGGTGAGTCATGTGTGCATTCGTTTACCAGACATTCCAGGGCTTTTTTTTTTTTTACATCTTTATTGCAGTATAATTGCTTTACAATGGTGTGTTAGTTTCTGCTTTACAACAAAATGAATCAGTTATACATATACATATGTTCCCATATCTCTTCCCTCTTGCGTCTCCCTCCCTCCCACCCTCGCTATCCCACCCCTCCAGGCGGTCACAAAGCACCGATCTGATCTCCGTGTGCTATGCGGCTGCTTCCCACTAGCTATCTACCTTACGTTTGGTAGTGTATATATGTCCATGCCACTCTTGCTTTGTCACAGCTTACCCTTCCCCCTCCCCAGGGCATTTTTATATGCCAAGCACGGTTGGGGGGTGAGGGTGTAGCAAAAGGAAAAGGACCCCAGGCTTGTTCTTCCGAAGCTGCCAGTCCGTTGGGGGAGATGGAAGATAATCACCTAAGGAAGCAAAAAAAAAAAAAAGTAGCTGGTTATAGATAGGTAAGGGCTGTGAAGAAAGGAGAGGGTCTTTTTAGAGAAAAGAAGGGTATTGGGGAGGAGAGACTCTCTGAAGGAGTGACATTTAAGTGGGTCCAAATGAGAAGGTATGATATAGGCATTCCCCATAGCAGGGACAGGGTGGGAGGAAGGGGAATGGGGTGGGTGGAGGTGGGGAGGTGGGTGTAGAAATGTCATCACTGATTTTTTTTTTTTTTTGACTGATCGTTGGGGTCAGAGGGGGAGGGATTGCTCATCTGAGATCAGGGACACTGGAAGAAGGACAGGCTTTGAGAAGAAGGTGATAAGTGCATTTTTTTTTTTTTTTTTTTGGAGTGGGTGAAACAACAGAAATTTCTATCTCAGTTAGAGGTCAGAAGTCTGAAATCAAGGTGTCGGCAAGGCCATGCTTCCTGTGAAACCTGTAGGGAAATAATCTTTCTTGCCTCTTCCTAGCTTCTGGTGGTTGCTGTAAGCCTCAGTATTCCTTGGCTTGTGGATGCATCGTTCCCATCTCTGCCTGCCTTGCCACGTGGCTTTCTCCCCTCATTCGGTATCTCTTCTCCTCTTACAAACACACCATTTGTATTGGATTAAGGGCCCTCTACTCCACCATAACTTTATCTTAACATCTGCAAAAACCCTATTTCCAAGCAAGGTCATATTCTGAGGTACTGGGGGTTAGGACTTGTTATTTTTGGGGGGGACACAGTTCAACTCATAAAGTCTGCTCTCGGGACCCCCCAAATTCATATCCTCCTTACATGCAAAATACAGTCACATGATCCCAACATCCCCAAAGTTTTTACCCATTCCAGCATCAACTCTGTCTAAAATCTCATCTAGATATTGACCCAGAATATCCCAGATCTTGTCATCTAAATAATCTAAATCAGGTATGGTGAGACTGGGGGTGTGATCCATCCTGGGGGCATAATTCCTCTCCATTTGTAAATTGGTAGAACCAGAAAACAGGTTCTCTGCTTCCAAAATACAATGGTGGGGCAGGCATTGGATAGACATTCCCATTCCCAAAGGGAGAGGAAACAAGGGTCCCGGGTCTCACGTACGTTTGAAACCCAGCAGGGCAAGTTCAAAGCCTGAGAATGATCCTCTGTGGCTTGAATCTCTGTCCTCCGCCTCCTGGGGCAACAGCTCACCCCATCTAGCTCATTTTGGATGTTTCATTCGTATTCCCCCAGGTAGATGAGTGGAGATATCGGAGCCAATGGTTGTGTATATGGGTCTGGAGTGCAGATGTGAGAGTCAGCCTGGAGATTTGGGCCTTGTCAGGTAGTTGGGAATTGACGCCCAGAGCCGGGGACGGTGCCTTCCGAGGCGGAGACTACAAGGTGAGAAGAGGAAGGTGTGCACCTTGGGGACACCAGCAAGTGATGGAGGAGGAGCCTATACAGGAAACCGGGAGGGAGGCTGCGGGGTGGGGGTGGGCACTGAAGCCCAGGGGGGTGGGTTTTAAGATGGAGGGATTGGATGACTGAACATGTCAACTAGATCCCCACTCTGGATGGAGGTCACAGGTGATCCTAGTGAGGTGCTGGTCCTTGGAATGGTGATGTTGGGAAGTGAGTAGGAGGTGAGAAAATGGATACAGAGATTGCCCACGATGGGGAACAGAGAGATAGAACAGTAGCTAGAGGGAAGTGTGGAGTATTATAGCTTGAATTGTGACCACCCCCAAAAAAGCTATATTGAAGTCCTAACCCTCAGTACCTGTGAATGTGACCTTATTTGGAAATAGGGTCTTTGTAGATGCCATCAAGTTAAGATGAGGTCATGATGGTGGGCCCTAATCTAATATGAATGGTGCCCTCGTAAGAAGGGGAAAATGCCATGTGAAGACAGGAACACACGGGGGGAGGACAGCCATGTGATGACAGAGGCAGAGATTGGAGGGACACGCAGTTACAAGCCCAGGATTGACCTTCACCACCAGAAGCCAAGAAGAGGCAAGGAAGGACTCTACCCAGAGTCTCAGAGAGAGTGTGACCCTGCCCACACCTTGATTTTGGGCTTCTGGCCTCCAGAACTCTGAGAGAATACATTTCTGTTGCTTTAAGCCGCCCAGTTGTGGTACTTTTTTACAGCAGCCCCGGGAAGCTAATGACATGGGGTCAGGGATTGGATGTGATTCAGGTTTAATTACCAAGGGGAAAGGTCCCATCGAGAGGGGAGGTGAGGGTGCAGGGAGACAAGGGTTGGCTGGGGAATCACTTGCTCCTCTGTAACAGGCCAGAGTGAGGAGGCCTGGTGCGGATGAGGGATGTTATTGATTTGAAGGCAGGAAAGGAAGGATGCTTCCTTCTCAGGCACACTCACAGGGAGGTGGCGGTTTCTCTGTCCCCTACTTGTGGTAAGTCCTGGGGTGCTATCGGCCCTGCAGAGTTGGGGCAGAGGAAGGGGCCCAGCAGCTAAGGCAGGACAGCTGACCCAGGGCTGAATCAAGGGGGAGAAAGGGGGTGCCCCAGAAACTTCAGAGTCTGTTGGTGACTTGAGACTGTGGCTCCAGAGATTTGGAACAGAGGAAACGTGTGTGTGTGTGCATGCGTGTGTGCATGCATGTGTGTCTGTGTGTCTGTCTGTATATTTCTGTGTGTTTGTGCTTGTCAGTGTGGGTATGCGCATACTGTGTATGCGTGGTGTGTATGTAAACATTTGTGTGAGTGTATGCATGCGTGTGTACTGGTGTGTGTGAGTGTACATGTGTGCCCAAGCAGCTGGGAGTGTGTGCAAGCATATGTGCGTGCATCTCTCTGTGTACATTACATGTGTGTGTCCCTGGGAGTGTGTGCATATGTGTGTGCACATGGGGTCATTCACAGGGTGGGCAGCCCTTGGCCCTGCAAGTGGGGTCACTGGGCCAGGCCCAGACCCTAACGGCTCCCCTCTTCTCCTCCAGCAGTGCCTGCTCAGGACCCCACCTGGCTCCGGGAGGAGAGCACAGAGGAAGAAGCCGTGGCTCCTGGGACACTGAACACTTGTCTGCAGGTAAGTAACAAATACTTGTTCTTCTTGCTTTGCCTCCTTGTCCCCTTCCCCTGTCTGGGAGTTTCTTGACCCCAGAGGACTGGTCTCCAGGCTTCCAGGCACTGGGCCTCTAGTGGTGGGTGGGCAGTGACCCCACTCCCTCATTCAGGGCTTCCCCCGGTTATCAAGGGCCATGTTCAGCTGAATGTCAGGAGGGAAAGCAGGGTGAGGACGTGAGCTGTCCTTGTCTTATAGTCATCATGGTCTCCCAAGAGCAAACAGTTGTCATTTACCAAACATTTTTCTCTTGCCTGTAACGCGATCAGGTCTGCTGGACCCTGGGGCTAGAGGGGAAGGACTTCCCAGCTAGTTGTTAATAACTAAGTCCTGTCGTGAAGTTTAGGTCCTTTTCTGCCACCCCTTGGGATGCAGTCATTTAGGGAGGGAAGAGTAGATGGAGAAGAGTTCTAGTTCTGAGGCCTGAGCAGAGAGACCTCAGACTGTGTCTGAACATCTTCTACATGTAAGTGTCCCTTTCCCAGGCCTGCAAGCCCCACACTGTCCTCTTGAGTATTGGTCGGGGTGGCCCCTGGCTGAGCAGGGACGGGTGTGCGTTTTAGGAACCAGTCACCTTTGCGGATGTGGCCGTGCTGTTCACACCGGAAGAATGGCTGTTTCTAGACTCTGCTCAGAGAAGCCTGTACAGAGACGTGATGCTGGAGAACTATAGGAACCTGACCTCTGTGGGTAAGGCTGGCCTCGCTGCTTCATCCACACACTTGCGCAGCTACTATGGTTTCCCGGAACTGTGCTAGTTTCGGAAATCGAGAGGTGAAGAGACAGGAAGGTCCTGCCTTCATTGTGCTTATAGTCTAGTGGTTTCTTCTTGGAAATGAAGATCTGTCCATTGTTTCTGGTCTTCTCAAGTTTGTCCCTGAGCCAGGCGCCGGGTTTTGGGGACTGGAGAGTCCCACTGTCCTTTGGGACCCAGTGAGGGAGCTTGTACTTTGGTTCCTTAGTGAAAGAGCTCAGCCGTGCCATCAGAATATAGGTGTGTCCATTTTGCTATTCCTATCTCCAGTGACCCTAAAGACTTCAGAATATCGGCTCCCGTTGCATGGCAGGCACAGTTGCTCATACCCTGCATCTTTTCCCATGAGCAGGAGATCAACTCTGCAAAGCCAGTACATTTTCCCATTTGGAGCAAAGAGAAGAGCTGTGTGTCACTGAGAGAGGGATCTTCCCAGGAACCCACTTAGGTGAGCACCAGGCAGATGAGGGGTGCTTAGTGCCCTTGATGGGGAAGGCTGTTGGGTTGAGCTCCCTCAGTAAATTCCACTTTCTTTCCTCTTTCTCTTCCCTTTTTATCTCTAATGCTTTACTTTGGCTTCATAGAAAGATTTATCCTACCTCCTTTTCACATTTAGCACGTCCATGTGTATATTTCATCCAGTTCCTCCCCACTGTATGTTCTTACTAATACTTCCTCTCAACATCAGTCCCAATCTTCATAGAATCCCTTCTTAGTAAATTATCTACTATTTCCATTCCTTGTTCCTATGATTACGTGACTCCTCACGTAGCCAAACACCTTAAAATTTTCCTTTACCCTCTGATACATTCCTCTTATTCATAGTTTCTTCCCATATTTAGGATCAGTATTAAAAAAAATCTGCACATGCCTAGCTTTTTTTGTCATCTTGATCCCACAGTTTCCTTCTCTGTGCGCTTAATATTTCTTCCCCTTAATTCATTCCAGAACCTCAACTTCAACCACAAGACTCAATTCCTAACCAAGATATTTTTGCAGAGATTTCATCCATTGGCACAAAAAGGGTAAGGCATAAAGGGGTTATTCTTGTTCCTCTACAGTAGGAAATGTCTGGGATTGCTGTAGGTTAGAAACACAAGAAACCCAGAGAGAGATTCAAGGCAAGTGATACTCACCTAGGAGAAAGCAGTTTCTTGGGAGAGAGTCTGTGAATGTCATGAACTGGGGGAAAACTCTAAATGTAGATCAAGTTGTGGCTTTACAGAGTTCCCAAAGCTAACCATTTTCGTAAATTTGACACAGATGTAGAGCATTTAAAACTTAATTTAGCCTTACATAATACAGAAAAAGTCTACATCTAAGAAGTCCCATGAAAGTAATGAAAATGATAGCTCTTTGTGGCAGAGTATCTGCTTGAAGGAACTCAGGGTAGAAATGGTATAGATACGCTAAAATGGTAAAATCTTCAGCTATAGGAATGTCTCTTTCCTACACTCAGTTCACTTGGGGGAGAATATCTGTGAATGCAATAAAGCCTCTGGTCTTCCCATTTTCCTCAATTGACAGGAGCGACCTCAGACTGGAGAAAAACTCTATAAATGCAATGTACTAGGGAAACCTATTAACAGCATCAAACCACTTTTTCAGTACCAGAGAATTCCTGCAGGAGGGAACCCTTGTGAATGCCGAGAGAGTGGAAAACCCTTCTTCCAGACTGCTCACCTAATCGTGTCTGAGAAAATCCATAGCGGGGATAAAACCTATGCATGTAACAAATGTGAAAAATCGTTCAGATACAGCTCCGATCTCATCAGGCACGAGAAGACTCACACTGCGGAGAAGTGCTTCGAGTGTCAGGAGTGCAGGCAGGCCTTCAAGTATTCCTCAAATCTGCGGCGGCACATGAGAACTCACACTGAAGAGAAACCCTTCGAGTGCAGTCAGTGTGGGAAAACCTTCACGAGGAACTTTAACCTGATCTTGCACCAGAGAAACCACACGGGCGAGAAGCCCTACGAATGTAAGGACTGTGGGAAAGCTTTCAACCAGCCGTCCTCTCTGAGGAGCCACGTGAGAACTCACACCGGAGAGAAGCCTTTTGAATGTGGCCAGTGCGGGAAAGCCTTCAGGGAACACTCATCACTGAAGACACACCTGCGGACCCACACCAGAGAGAAACCGTACGAATGTAACCAGTGTGGGAAGCCCTTCCGGACGAGCACTCACCTGAACGTACATAAGAGGATCCACACAGGGGAGAAGCTTTATGAGTGCGCCACCTGCGGGCAGGTCTTGAGTCGTCTCTCGACCCTTAAGAGTCACATGCGGACCCACACGGGAGAGAAGCCCTACGTGTGTCAGGAGTGTGGGCGAGCCTTCAGTGAGCCCTCATCCCTCAGGAAACACTTGAGGACCCACACCGGCAAGAAGCCCTACGCATGTCAGGAGTGTGGGCGAGCCTTCGGCCAGTCTTCACACCTTATCGTACATGTGAGAACCCACACTGCAGGGAGACCCTACGAATGTAATCAGTGTGAGAAAGCCTTCAGGCACAGCTCTTCACTTACCGTGCATAAAAGGACTCATGCCAGGAGAGAAAACGTCAGGACTGGCGGCCTGCCTTTATCAGTGTCTCTTGCATACGGTGGGCCCCATGCTGATTAACTTCCAATTTGTAAAAACATAAACATCCAAGGCTGTGATCATCTCTCATAGTACTCGTTAAGCGACATCCCATGTTTTGATGTATAATATTTTCATTTCAGTTTAATTCTCCATATTGTCTTAGTTTCTTTTACCACTTTTTCTTTGACACACGAGTTAAATGGAATTAGGTTTTTAAATAAAAGTACATGGGTATATTTTTATAGAGGCATAATTGTAGTGAAATGCATAAATCTTAAGTGTACAGTTGGATGAGTTTGACAGATGTATACTCGTATGTAATCAATACTCCATTCAGGATATAGACTGTTTCTGTCCTGGAAAGTTCCTGCATATATATGGGTGTTTCTTTTTAGTTGCCTTTTTGTTGTTGGTTTCTAATTTAATTACACTCTTAGCAGGGTGTGTGGTCTTTATGTTGTTGAACGTTAAGTATTTGTGGAGATTTGCTTTTAGGTCTAGTGTGGTGCGTCCTGTTAATTGCCTACCAAAATTGCCCCTTCTTGCTTACCAAAGCACTTAGGTTTTTTTTTTGTTCAGATTGGGTCTGTGCACTATTTTTTTTTGTGTGTGTGTGGCTTAAAACAACAGAATTTTATTCTCTCAGAGTTCTGGAGGGCAGAAGTTGAAATCAAGGTGTCTGCAGGACCACACTCCCTCTAAATGCTCTAGGGGAGGTTCCTTCCTTGCCTCTTCCAACTTTTGGTGGCTCCAGGTGTTCCTTGTCTTGTGGCAGCCTCTCTCCCATCTCTGCCTCCGTTTTCAAATGGACTTCTCCTCTGTGTGTCTGTGTCTTCTCCTCTTCTGTCTCTTATAAGGACACTTGTCATTGGATTTAGGGTCCACCCAGATATCCAGGATGGTCTCATCTCGAGATCTTTAATTACATCTGCAAAGACCCTTTTCCAAATCAGATCACATCCATAGTTTCCAGGTGGACATATCTTTTGTGGGGGCATCATTCAAACCACAACACCATCAGGGAATGTGCACTATTAAAACACCTCCATCTTCCTGTCCTTGCTGCCAGGCGAGGCCACATCCTCCAGTCCTGGCCAGTATGAGACATCGCTGGGTGTGAGTCCTGGGAAAGATGTTGCAAAGGAGTGGTTTCATTTAGCCAGATCCCTCTCCTTCTTCTGTACAAGCAGACACCGTGTCCAGGGCTAGAGGAGCCATCCTGTGACCATGAGGGTGAAAGCCACAGGCTAAAGAGAGTGTGGCCAGAAGTCACAACCATCCTGGTTCCCCAGTTGGTGTCCTTGTATGGCTGTACCAGCCCTGGATTGTTTATTTCTGGACATTCTGTTACACGAATAAGATGTACCTCTTGCTGGTACATGACATTGTCTTTTTTGGGGGGAGGCTGGGGGAAGGCAGGGATGGGTTTATTATGGCTGAATGCAGTCTCTAACTGGTGCACTTAGTATATGGTCAATTTTTATAAATGCTTCGTGGGTAGTTGAAATCAATGTATTCTACATATATTCACTAGATGGAGCATATTATTTGTGTTTAAAAGTCTTTTACACATTTTAAAATATTGGTCTCTGTCTTAGCTCAGGCTGCTATAACAAAAATACTGTTGACTGGGTAACTAATAAACAACAGAAATTTATTTCTCACAGTCCTGGAGGCTGGAAGTCCAAGATCAAGGCTGGTAGATTTGACATCTGGTGAGGGCCCACTTCCTGGTTCATAGATGGCCATACTCTCGCTGTGTCCTCATGTGGCAGAAGGGGAGCAAGAGAGCTCTCTGGGGTCTCTATATAAATAAGGGCACTGATCCCATTCATGAAGGCTACATCCCCATGACCTAGTTACATCCCAAGGGCCCCACCTCTTAATACCATCCTCTTGGGGCTGAGGCTTCAGCATGTGAATTTTGGGGAGCACAAACATACAGTCCTTAGCAGTTTCTGATCTATCATATACTGAGAAGCCTCTCAGTATATGATACTCTCCCACCATAAGTATGGATTACTGAATAAGTCTTGTAATTCTGTCAATTTTAAGTTTCATATATTTTGAAGAAATGGAATTAAATGAAAATATTTTTGACATTTTATAAGTTTCCAGATAATTGTTCCTTTTATTCTTATAGTGACCATCTTTCTCCCTAGCAATGAATATTCAACCATTCATCATCATACTAGCAAATAATTATTTAGTGCTTATTATTACTAGATAGTAGCTACTACCCTAAACTTCGTATCTTTTAGGTTATTTAGTCCTCACAGACTTTCAGGAAGGTACTGGTTATTATCCCCAATTCACAGATGAGGAAACTGAGGCCTGGAAAGTTGAGGTGAGTTTACAGAGGTATGTAAGGTAGTAAGTGACAGAGTCTGGCTCTTTCTACAGAGCTTCACCCCAGGGGGCCATTCTCCATTTTAACCTGTACTCACATGATTCTATTTTTGTGTTTTAAAGTTCTTTAATTGAGGCATAAATTAGGTAAAATTTCATAAGTTTTAGTGTATACCTTAATGAATTTTATATATGTCTATACCACCCACATCAAATATAAAATATTTTATCTCCCCAGAAGTTTCCCTTGGGCCCTACCCCAGTCAATAAGCCCCATCATCAGAGGTAACCAGTATTCTGACTTCTATCACCATAAATCTGTTTTTCCTGTTCAGAGAAATAGAACCACACAGTATATGGTTCTATTTCTTGTGTCTGGTGCCTGGTGTCTGGTGTTTTCACTTAATATAGTGCCCATGAAATTTATCTTTGTCACATTATCAGCAGTTTATTCTTTTTTTAATTAAATTTTATTTTTTTTACATCTATATTGGAGTATAATTGCTTTACAATGTTGTGTTAGATTCTACTGTATAACAAAGTGAATCAGCTATATGTATACATATATCCCCATATCCCCTCTCACTTACGTCTCCCTCCCAGCCTCCCTATCCCACCCCTCTAGGTGGTCACAAAGCACCGAGCTGATCTCCCTGTGCTATGCAGCTGCTTCCCACTAGCTATCTATTTAACATTTGGTAGTATATATATGTCAATGCTACGCTCTCACTTCGTCCCAGCTTATGCTTCCCCCTCCCTGTGTCCACAAGTCCATTCTCTACATCTGTGTCTTTATTCCTGTCCTGCTCCTAGGTTCATCAGAACCTTTTTTTTTTTCTTTTTAGATTCCATATGTATGTGTTACCATACAGTATTTGTTTGCTTTTTCTGACTTACTTCATTCTGTATGACAGACTGTAGATCCATCCCCCTCACTAAAAATAACTCAATTTCATTTCTTTTTACGCTGAGTAAAATTCCATTGTACATGTGTGCCACATCTTCTTTATCCATTCATCTGTTAATCAACACTTAGGTTGCTTCCATGTCCTGGCTATTGTAAACAGTACTGCAATGAACATTGTGGTACATGTCTCTTTTTGAATTATGGTTTTCTTGGGGTATATGCCCAGGAGTGGGATTGCTGGGTCGTATAGTAGTTCTATTTATAGTTTTTTAAGGAACCTCCATACTGTTCTCATAGTGGCTGTATCAATTTACATTGCCTCCAACAGAGGGTTCCCTTTTCTTCACACCCTCTCTAGCATTTATTGTTTGTAGATTTTTTGATAATGGCCAGTCTGACCGGTGTGAGGTGATACCTCATTGCAGTTTTGATTTGCATTTCTCTAATGATTAGTGATGTTGAGCATCCTTTCATGTGTTTATTGGCAATCTGTATATCTTCTTGGAGAAATGTCTATTTAGGTTTTCTGCCCATTTTTTGGATTGGGTTGTTTGTTTTTTTGATATTGAGCTGCATGACCTGCTTGTATATTTTGGAGATTAATCCTTTGTCTGTTGCTTCATTTGCAAATATTTTCTCCCATTCTGAGGTTGTCTCTTCGACTTGTTTATGGTTTCCTTTGCTGTGCAAGAGATTTTAAGTTTCATTAGGTCCTATTTGTTTGTTTTTATTTCCATTTCTTTAGGAGGTGGGTCAAAAAGGACCTTGCTGTGATTTATGTCATTGATTGTTCTGCCTATGTTTTCCTCTAAGAGTTTTAGAGTGTCTGCCCTTACATTTCAGGTCTTTAATCCATTTTGAGTTTATTTTTGTATATGGTGTTAGGGAGCGTTCTAATTTCATACTTTTACCTGTAGCTGTCCAGTTTTCCCAGTACCACATATTGAAGAGGCTGTCTTTTCTCCATTGTATATTCTTGCCTCCTTTACCAAAGGTAAGGTGACCATATGTGCGTGGGTTTATCTCTGGGGTTGCTATCCTTTTACACTGATCTATATTTCTGTTTCTGTGCTAGTACCATATTATCTTAATTACTGGGGCTTTGTAGTAGAGTCTGATGTCAGGGCACTGATTCTGCCAGCACCGTTTTTTTTTCCTTTCCCTCAAGATTGCTTTGGCTATTTGGGGTCTTTTGTGTCTCCATACAAATTGTGAAGCTTTTTGTTCTAGTTCTGGGGAAAATACCATTGGTAGTTTGATAGGGATTGCATTGAATCTGTAGATTGCTTTGGGTGTATAGTCATCTTCACAATGTTGATTCTTCCAATCCAAGAACATGGTATATCTCTCCATCTGTTTGTATCATCCTTAATTTCTTTCTTCAGTGTCTTATAGTTTTCTGCATACAGGTCTTTTGGCTCCTTAGGTAGGTTTATCCTTAGGTATTTTATTCTTTTTGTTGCAGTGGTAAATGGAAGTGTTTCCTTAATTTCTCTTTCAGATTTTTCATCATTAGTGTATGTGAATGCAAGAGATTTCTGTACATTAATTTTGTATCCTGCTACTTTACCAAATTCATTGATTAGCTCTAGCAGTTTTCTGGTGGCATCTTTAGGATTCTCTGTGTATAGTATCATGTTACTGCAAACAGTGACAGCTTTACTTCTTTTCCAATTTGGATTCCTTTTGTTTCTTTTTCCTCTCTGATTGCTGTGGCTAAAACCTCCAAAACTGTGTTGAATAATAGTAGTGACAGTGGGCAAGCTTGCCTTGTTCCTGATCTTAGAGGAAATGGTTTCAGTCTTTCACCATTGAGAACGATGTTGGCTATGGGTTTGTCATATATGGCTTTTATCTGTTGAAGTAGGTTCCCTCTATGCCTACTTTCTGTAGAGTTTTTATCATAAATGGGTGTTGGATTTTGTCAAAAGCTTTTTCTGCACCTACTGAGATGATCATATGGTTTTTATTCATCAATTTGATAATATGGTGTATCACATAGATTGATTTGCGTATATTGAAGAATCCTTGCATTCCTGGGATAAACCCCACTTGATCATGGTGTACAATCCTTTTAATGTGCTGTTGGATTCTGTTTGCTAGTATTTTGTTGAAGATTTTTGCATCTATGTTCATCAGTGATATTGTCCTGTAGTTTTCTTTTTTTCGTTAAATCTTTGTCTGGTTTTGGTATCAGGGTGATGGTGGCCTCATAGAATGAGTTTGGGAATGTTCCTCCCTCTGCTATTTTTGGAAGAGTTTGAGAAGGATAGGTGTTAACTCTTCTCTAAATGTTTGATTGAATTCGCCTGTGAAGCCATATGGTTCTGGGCTTTGGTTTGTTGGAAGATTTTAATCACAGTTTCAATTTCATTACTTGTGATTGGTCTGTTCATATATTCCATTTCTTCCTGGTTCAGTCTTGGAAGTTTATACCTTTCTAAGAATTTGTCCATTTCTTCCAGGTTGTCCATTTTATTGGCATAAAGTTGCTTGTAGTAGTATCTTAGGATGCTTTGTATTTCTGCGGGGTCTGTTGTAACTTCTCCTTTTTCATTTCTAATTTTATTGATTTGAGTCCTCTCCCTCTTTTTCTTGATGAGTCTGGCTAATGGTTTATCAATTTTGTTTATCTTCTCAAAGAACCAGCTTTTAGTTTTATTCATCTTTGCTATTGTTTTCTTTGCTTCTATTTCATTTATTTCTGATCTGATCTTTATGATTTCTTTCCTTCTGCTAACTTTGGGTTTTGTTTGTTCTTCTTTCTCTAGTTCCTTTAGGTGTAAGGTTAGATTGTTTATTTGAGATTTTTCTTGTTTCTTGAGGTAGACTTGTATAGCTATAAACTTCCCTCTTAGAACTGCTTTTGCTGCATCCCATAGGTTTTGGATTGTCGTGTTTTCATTGTCATTTGTCTCTAGGTATTTTTTGATTTCCTCTTTGATTTCTTCAGTGATCTCCTGGTTATTTAGTAACGTATTGTTTAGCTTCCATGTGTTTGTGTTTTTTACGTTTTGTTCCCTGTTACTCATTTCTAATCTCATAGCGTTGTGGACAGAAAAGATGCTTGATATGATTTCAGTTTTCTTAAATTTACTGAGGCTTGATCTGTGACCCAAGATGTGATCTATCTTGGAGAACGTTCTGTGCACACTTGAGAAGAAAGTGAAATCTGCTGTTTTTGGTAGGAATGTCCTATAAACTTTCTTTCATGATAGATGAATGTCTTGGGTGAGTCTAGATGTAAACCACTGTGAGCTATCATAGGGTATCACCTGCTTTATATCCAATTATTCAGCATGATAAGCATGTGCTGCTCAATGGATCTTTTAGTGAAGTGCTCTGGGAGCAGTACATGATCTTACCACACTGTGTTTAGAGGGATCCGACAAGGTCTTGCTGGAGAATGTGTACTCCTCAGACTCGGCTTTGGTTTTCTTCATCCTTTTGAACCATGTCCTGTACTGCTCTTTGACCTGTAGATGCAAAACGTGGTCTGGGTCAGAACAGAGAGGAATGAGGATGGGAAGAGTTTTGAGTGGGAGTCAGACAGTGATACCTGATGGCTTAGGAGGCAGTACACCAGGAAGATGAAGACACCCAGCAGGCTGTTGATGATGGTGAAGAGGTAGGCCATGATGTGGGCAGCCGGTCCCACCTGCAGGATTCCCAGACACCATGTGCATCCCAAGAGGAAGAGCTGAGCTGTGGCTTTAAATGTCATCATCCTGGGTAGGAAGCGAAAGGAGGCTCGTGATGCACCCTGAGCAAAACAATCAAAGCCATTTCTTTTCTACACCATGGATGCCTCTGACTGAGTTGTGGCCACTCTGATATTTACTGTCAATGATTCTCGAAAAGAAATGCTTTTTCGATCCTGGATGGCATTTAGACTTGGACTGAAGTTCGTAGTGACACTTCATAATGTGGGTTTCAGTAATATGATGTTGCATGAATATCCCCAGTTTCAATCAACCGATATTACTGTGGATGTTCTGTACACCTGGCTATGTGTTGGACCCTGTGCATTAAAAATAACAAGGGCAAGATTTTTGTTTTCACAAACCTTACAGTCTACTGGAAAGCCAAATACAAATGGTCAATGATTAATTTGTGAATATTAGGTACCTCTGTCCTTGGTCCCTCCAATGCTCTTCCTATCCTTTTCCTCTCTGTGAACTGACCCAGAGCATGCTTTGCCCAGATGATTCATTCTTTGTAAACTTGAGGAAAGCAAAGCACATCCCTAGCCTCTTAGAAGATGTGATATGTGGCTAATGAACCTGATTTCATCAGGTAGTGCAGTGTGATTGAGGGTAGCAGGAGGAGCTTAAATAAAGGTATGGGCAGGAAAGGGCATCCTGGGTTCTGGGTCAGGTATGTAATTTCCTAAGTGGTTTATAAGGATGTAAATGTTCTCAGGACCTTTCTCATAGAGCCATGGTAGTAATCCCTGTTTTTCAGAACAAAGTGAATTCTCTTTGTAGCTGAGGTAGTTTCATTTTTGGGTTATAGACGAATGGAATGTTTCCGGCTTGGGTGTCAGCAGAAAAACACTGTATCTGAACTTCCAAGGTGTGTGGCTGTACATCTTCCCTCAAGTCTGCTTAGAATTCCTGTGAATGTACATCAGGAGCTTGGAACCGTATGGCCTCACTCCCGGGTCATGCTTTTTATGAGGAGCAATGTGTACCTCTGACCCATCTCACCTAGTGATCCAGAGAGTGGACATCATCAGTGTTGAGAGCTTGTTTTTCACAATCCAGAAGGTTATCAGGAAATTAATCTGCAGAAACACCATAAGGCATATTGAATACATCCACACCTGCTAAATGTTCCTCCTGGCTCATCCAACACCTAAACCAGCAGGTAGGAAGGTTTTTTATTTCACTACAGTCATAGAACACCAGACCCAACACCCAGTAACTCAGTTTGCATGGGAATTTACATCTTTAAACACTGAAAGTCCCGTGTCTAAGGAAACAATCCTTCTTGGTTTTAAAGTGGAAATTTCTGCATCCTGGGTGTCCACTCATTCCTGAACAAACTGGAAAAACTGGTCACTCTGCCTATACTCCTCTTTACACCTCTGCTTTTGATTCATGCTCAACCAGATAGGAAGGATGCTCTGATGTCATCCATTACTCACAGAGAAGATGGTGCAGACAGGGCCAAGAAAGGTCCATATAAATCCTTTGTCTGTGTGGAGCCAGCATCTATGAGAGAGGTGGAAGGAGATTCAAGAATATATTGGCCTTACCAGTCCCCTCCACCAGGAAGTCTACACAAGCCACTGAACCAACATTACCCACTGGGGGCAGACAGCAAAAACAATGGGAACTACAAACCTGCAGCCTGCAAAAAGGAGACGCCAAACACAGTAAGTTAAACAAAATGAGAAGACAGAAATATGCAGCAGATGAAGGGGCAGGGTGAAAACCCACCAGAGCAAACAAAAGAAGAGGAAGTAGGCAGTCTACCTGAAAAAGAATTCAGAATCATGATACTAAAGATGATCCAAAATCTTGGAAATTGAATGGAGAAAATACAAGAAACGTTTAAAAAGGACTTAGAAGAAGTAAAGAGCAAACAAACAATGGTGAACAACACAATAATTAAACTTCTCTAGAAGGAACAATAGCAGAATAACTGAGGCAGAAGAATGGATAAGTGACCTGGAGATTAAATAGTGGAAATAACTACTGCAGAGCAGAATAAAGAAAAAAGAATGAAAAGAACTGAGGACAGTCTCAGAGACTTCCGGGACAACATTAAACGCACCAACATTCGAATTATAGGGGTCCCAGAAGCAGAAGAGAAAAAGAAAGGGGCTGAGAAAATATTTGAGCAGATTATAGTTGAAAACTTCCCTAACATGGAAAAGAAAAGAGTCAGTCAAGTCCAGGAAGTGCAGAGGGTCCCATACAGGAAAAATCCAAGGAGAAACACACCAAGACACATATTAATCAAACTATCAAAAATTAAATACAAAGAAAAATTATGAAAAGCAGAAAGGGAAAAGCAATAGATAAAAAAACAAGGGAATCCCCATAAGGTTAACAGCTGATCTTTCAGCAGAAACTCTGCAAGCCAGAAGGGAGTGGCAGGACATATTTAAAGTGATGAACGGGAAAAACCTACAACCAAGATTACTCTACCCAGCAAGGAACTCATTCAGATTAGACGGAGATATTAAAACCTTTCCAGACAAGCAAAAGCTAAGAGAATTCAGCATCACCAAAGCAGCTTTACAACAGCTGCTAAAGGAACTTCTCCAGGCAGGAAACACAAGAGAAGGAAAAGACCTACGAAAACAAACCCAAAACAATTAAGAAAATGGTAATAGGAACACACATATCAATAATTACCTTAAACATATATAAAATAAATGCTCCAACCAAAAGACATAGACTGGCTGAATGGTTACAAAAACAAGGCCTGTATATATGCTATCCACAGAGACCTGCTTCAAACTTAGGGACACATACAGACTGAAAGTGAGGGGATGGAAATAGATATTCCATGCAAATGGAAATCAAAAGAAAGCTGGAGTAGCAATTCTCACATCAGACAAAATTGACTTTAAAATAAAAACTATTACAACAGACAAAGATGGACACTACATAATGATCAAGGGATCAGTCCATGAAGAAGATATAACAATTGTAAATATTTATGCACCCAACACCAGAACACGTCAATACATAAGGCAAATGCTCACAGCCATAAAAGGAGAAATCGACAGTAACACAATCATATTAGTGGACTTTAAACCCCACTTTAACCAATAGAGATCATCCAAAATGAAAATAATAAGGAAACACAAGCTTTAAATGACACCTTAAACAAGATGAACTTAATTGATATTTATAGACATTCCACCCCAAAACAGCAGAGTACACTTTCTTCTCAAGTGCTCATGGAACATTCTATAGGACAGATCACATCTTGGGTCACAAATAAACCTTGGTAAATTTAAGAAAATTGAAATCGTTTCAACTATGTTTTCCGACCACAACGCTATGAGACTAGATATCAATTAGAGGGGGAAAAAAATGTAAAAAATCGAAACACAATGGATGCTAAAAAATATGCTGGGGCTTCCCTGGTGGTGCAGTGGTTGAGAGTCCGCCTGCCAATGCAGGGGACACGGGTCTGTGCCCCGGTCCAAGAAGATCCCACATGCCACGGAGTGGCTGGGCCCATGAGGCATGGCCGCTGATCCTGTGCATCTGGAGCCTGTGCTCCGCAATGGGAGAGGCCACAACAGTGAGAGGCCCATGTACCGCAAAAAAAAATAATAATAATAATATATATATGTATATATATACATATATATATGTATATATATATACATATATATATGTATATATATATATGCTACTAAATAACCAAGATATCACTGAAGAAATCAAACAGGACATCAAAAATACGTAGAAAAAAATGACAATGAAAACATGACGACCCAAAACCTAAAGGATGCAGCAAAAGCAGTTCTAAGAGGGAAGTTTATAGCAATACAATCCTACCTCAAGAAACAAGAAAAATCTCAAATAAACAAACTAAACTTACACCTAAAGCAATTAGAGAAAGAAGAACAAACAAAACCCAAAGTTAGCAGAAGGTAAGAAATCATAAAGATCAGAGCAGAAATAAATGAAATAGAACAAAAAAAAAACCCAAAATAGCAAAGATCAATAAAACTAACAGCTTGTTCTTTAAGAAGATAAAGAAAATTGATCAAGCATTGCCAGACTCATCAAGAAAAAAAGGAAGAAGACTGAAATCAATAGCATTAGAAATGAAAAAGGAGAGGTAACAACTGACACTGCAGAAATACAAAGGATCATGAGAGATTACTACAAGCAACTATATGCCAATAAAATGGACAAACTGGAAGGAATGGACAAATTTTTAGAAATGCACAACCCTCCGAGACTGAACCAGGAATAAATAGAAAATATGAACAGACCAATCACAAGCACTGAAATTGAAACAGTGATTTAAAATCTTCCAACAAACAAAAGTCCAAGAACAGAAGGCTTCACAGGCGAATTCTATCAAACATTTAGAGAAGAGCTAACACCTATCTTTCTCAAACTCTTCCAAAATATAGCAGAGGGAGGAACACACCCAAACTCATTCTACGAGGCCACCATCACCCTGATACCAAAACCAGACAAAGGTGTCACAAAGAAAGGACTCTACAGGCCAATATCACTGATGAACATAGACGGAAAAATCCTCAACAAAATACTAGCAAACAGAATCCAACAGCCCATTAAAAGGATTGTACACCATGATCACGTGGGGTTTATCCCAGGAATGCAAGGATTTTTCTATATACGGAAATCAATCAATGTGATACACCATATTAACAAAATTAAGGATAAAAGCATATGGTCATCTCAATAGATGCAGAGAAAGCTTTCGAAAAAATTCAACACCCACTTATGATAAAACCCCTCCAGAAAGTAGGCATAGAGGGGACTTATCTCCACATAATAAAGACCATATATGACAAACCCACAGCCAACATCATCCTCAATGGTGAAAAACTGAAACCATTTCCACTAAGACCAGGAACAAGACAAGGTTGCCCACTCTCACCACTATTATTCAACATAGTTTTGGAAGTTTTAGCCACAGCAATCAAAGAAGAAAAAGAAATAAAAGGAATCCAAACAAGAAAAGAAGAAGTAAAGCTGTCACAGTTTGCAGATGACATGATACTATAGATATAGAATCCTAAAGATGCTACTAGAAAACTACCAGAGCTAATCAATGAATTTGGTAAAGTAGCAGGATACAAAACTAATGCACAGAAATCTCTGGCATTCCTATACACTAATGATGAAAAATATGAAAGTGAAATTAAGAAATCACTCCCTTTTACCATTGCAACAAAAAGAATAAAATACCTAGGAATAAACCTACTGAAGGAGATAAAATACCTGTATACAGAAAATTAAAAGACACTGATGAAAGAAATTAAAGATGATACAAACAGATGGAGAGATATACCATGTTCTTGGATCGGAAGAATCAACATTGTGAAAATGACTCTACTACCCAAAGCAATCTACACATTCAATGCAATCCCTATCAAACTACCACTGGCATTTTTCACAGAACTAGAACAAAAAATTTCACAATTTGTATGGAAACACAAAATACCCCGAATAGCCAAAACAATCTTGAGAAAGCAAAACGGAGCTGGAGGAATCAGGCTCCCTGACTTCAGACTATACTACAAAGCTACAGTAATCAAGACAATATGGTTCTGGCACAAAAACAGAAATATAAATCAATGGAACAGGATAGAAAGCCCAGAGATAAACCCACACACATATGGTCACCTTATCTTTGACAAGGGAGGCAAGAATATACAGTGGAGAAAAGACAGCTTCTTCAATAAGTGGTGCTGTGAAAACTGGACATCTACATGTAAAAGAATGAAATTAGAACACTCCCTAACACCATACACAAACATAAACTCAAAATGGATTAAAGACCTAAATGTAAGATCAGACACTGTCAAACTCTTAGAGGAAAACAGGCAGAACAGTCTATGACATACATTACAGCAAGATCCTTTTTGACCCACCTCATAGAGAAATGGAAATAAAAACAAAAATAAACAAATGGGACCTAATGAAAGTTAAGAGCTTTGCACAGCAAAGGAAGCCATATACAAGGTGAAAAGACAACCCTCAGAATGGGAGAAAATATTTGCAAATGAAACAAGTGACAAATGATTAATCTCCAAAATTTACAAGCAGCTCATGCAGCTCAAAATCAAAAAAACAAACAACCCAATCCAAAAATGGGCAGAAGACCTAAATAGACATTTCTCCAAAGAAGATATACAGATTTCCAACAAGCACATGAAAGACTGTTCAATATCATTAATCATTAGAGAAATGCAAATCAAAACTACATTGAGATATCATCTCACACCGGTCAGAATGGCCATCATCAAAAGTCTACAAACAATAAATGCTGGAGAGGGTGTGGTGAAAAGGGAACCCTCTCGCACTCTTGGTGGGAATGTAAATTGATACAGCCACTATGGAGAACAGTACGGAGGTTCCTTAAAAATCTAAAAATAGAACTACCATACGACCCAGCAATCCCACTCTTGGCCATATACCCTGAGAAAACCATAATTCAAAAAGACTAATGTACCACAATGTTCATTGCAGCTCTATTTACAATAGCCAGGACATGGAAGCAACCTAAGTGTCCATCGACAGATGACAGGATGAAAAAGATGTGGCACATATATACAATGGAATATTACTCAACCATAAAAAGAAACAAAAATGAGTTATTTTTAGTGAGGTGGATGGACCTTGAGTCTGTCATAGAGAGTGAAGTAAGTCAGAAAGAGAAAAACAAATACCATATGCTAACATATATATATGGAATCTAAAGAAGAAAAAATAATGGTTTTGACAAACCTAGGTGCAGGACAGGAATAACGATACAGACGTAGAGAATGGACTTGAGGACATGGGGTGTGGGAAATGTAAGTTGGGAGTAAGTTAGAGAGTAGCGCTGACATATACACACTACCAAATGTAAAATAGATAGCTACTGGGAAGCAGCCGCATAGCATAGGGTGATCAGCTCAGTGCTTTGTGCCCACGGAGAGGGGTGGGATATGGAGGATGGGAGGGAGACCCAAGAGGGAGGGGATATGGGGATATATGTATACATATAGCTGATTCACTTTGTTATACAGCAGAAACTAACACAACATTGTAAAGCAATTTTACTGTAATAAAGATGTTAAAAATAAAAGAATATATTGGCCTTTGTGGGTAAAGAATCGATAAATAAACATATCCCTCATCCTCCAAAGTATTTTTCTGCCTCCGTTATTAATAATAATAATAAATATTATTATTGCTTTTTTTGGTAAGAATATTTCTCGTAAGAGCTACACCCTTAGCAAATTTAAAATATACAACACAGTATTATTAGCTATAGGCACTATGCTCTGTATTAGAGCTCCTGAAGTTATTATTTTGCAGAATTGAAAGTTTGTGTATGCCCTTTATTTTGGTAAGGGACATGGCTGTATACTTATTCCCAATTTATCAGGCTGTATACATGAATTATGTGCAGCTTTTTACATGTACAGCAAAGTTAAAAAGTGGTTTTAAAAAAAGAAAAAATTTTTTAAAAACGTGTTTTAAGTTTTGGTCTTCAGATACACTGGCAGAAAAATATACATGTTTTAAAGAAAAAATGAATAGAGAAGTTAATTTATGGTTTATTGGAGCAATATTGAGTGTCTCCTCCTGTATAAGGATTTGTACTTGGTTTTGAAGGCCCAGTTCTTGTTAAGATAGAGTGATGTCTGTCATCAGGGAGTTCCTAGCTAGGTGGGCACATCAACAATCAGAAAATAGAAACTATCAAAATGATGAAGTTTACAATCAAATATGAGGAGCTGTCTGAACATGTAGCTGGATCTATAACCTAGTCAGGGTTATAGGAGATTCAGATATTGGGAAGGATTCCCTGAGAGAATTGAATTGTGTTTATGCTGAGATGTGGATGATGAGTAGGTGTAGATAGGATAAAAAAAAATTGGGACAGCCAAGGAGAGAGAGAGCGAGAGAGTATGAGAGACAGAAACAACAGTAAACCTGACACTGCTATGGCAGGGTTCATGTGCATTATGTAATTTATTCTTCATGACAACAGAGGTAATCAAATGATCACAGGTCAGACATCTGAGGCATAAGGATACAAAGTCAGTAACTGAAGTTCACACTGATAGAAATGATCAAGTTGGTGTTTCATCCCAAGTAGGGAATTGTGAATGACTTGGGAGGTGTGAGGACCATGGAGAGGGTTAGCTGGATCCACCAGGAAGAACCTAAGAGAGAGCTACTAAGGCAGGAGTTAGCAAACTGCAGCCTGTGGTCCACGTTGGGCTGCTGTCTGATTTTGGAAATGTGTTTTACTGAGTCACAGTCACATTCATATCTTATAGCTTTTCTGTGGCTGCTTTTGAGCTACAAGGATAGAGGTGAGTCGTCACAACAGAGACCATATGACCCACAAAGCCAAAATATATACTATCTTGCCTTTCACAGAGAAAGTTTGCTGACTTTTTTGCTAAGATATCTAGGAAGGCCGGCATGCCAGGGCCCATCTGATGCAGGTTAACATTAATTTTTATCAGCATAGGACTTTTGTTGTGGGTGACAGTCTGCACTTGCTCACATCTCTGCTACCGATAACCTGATCTAAAAATGGCAGGAGAGCTGAATAGACGTTTTCCAAAGAAGACACAGAGATGGCCAGCAGGCACATGAAAGAATGTTCAACATCACTAATGTTAGGGAAATGTAAATCAAAACCACAATGAGATGTCCCAGCACAGCTGTCAGAATGGCTCTTATCAAAAAGGCATGAAATAATAGTGAGGATGTGGAGAAAAGGGAACCCTTATATTACTGTTGGTAGGGATGTAAATTGGTGCAGCCACTATGGAAGACAGTATGGAGATCCTCAAAAAAAAAAAATTAAGAATAGAACTACCATCTGATCCAGGTATCTCACGTCTAGATACTTATCCAAAGACTACAAAAACACTAACTCAAAATGATATATGGACATTTATGTTCACTGCAGCATTATTTACAATAGATAAGATATGGAAGCAACCTAAGTGCCCATCAACGGATAAAGAAGGCATGATACACACACACAAACACACACACACACACACACACACACACACACACACACACACACACA